GTTTAATTTCCCAGTTCAGACCTTAGATTAAGAAACAAATGTGGAAGAACCTGAAAGCCTTAGAAATTAATTCAGTCTCGGTCTGAACAGTAAAAATCAGTGGTGGATCAGGCTAGTTTTGTGTTAATACCAAATGAATAGATGAAGATAATATGTTATTACTATATTTTGAAGTTTTTTTTTACTAACCTTTTAATAACTTGTCATAGATTCTTGATTTGTTGTGGCAGCGGGCTATGGTGGACCTGTTATATAATACTTAAGAAAGAAATACATTGTTGTAAATTTATGTGTATTACTATTTTACTATGTGATCTTTTTGACTATATTGCCTTACATTTTGTTAAATGAAATGTAAATTATATTAAACTTTATGTTTCGCTTTAATACCAAAATCTATTTTTATAAAGACAAAAAAAAAACAAAAAAACAACAACAACGTACCCATTGGGACTAATCGATCCACTCAAGCAGATTCCAAACCACTTTTAGAAATTACTCAGGGAGAAGGAAATGATAGAAAAGATTTAGTATTAGAAATCCAGCACAGTCTATTTATATTATATAGGGGTGGCATTGATATTTGGTTATGTTGGGTTCCAGCAGATGAAGGTGTAAAAGGCAATGAAAAAGCAGATATATTAGCAAAAAGGAAAAAGGGAAATCACTTATTAAGAGAAAAGAAATGGAAAAATGGCAAAAGAGGTGGAATGAAGATAAGAAAGGAAGAGGATTATATAAGGTACAAAAATCAGTATTAAATAGAATCATTAATGAGAGAAAAAGAAGGGAAGAAGTAATAATAATCAGATTAAGAGTGGGTCATACCTATTTAAATGACAATTTATATTTAATAGGTAGGAAAAATAATGATAAATGTGAAGGGTGTGGAGAAAATGAAAATGTAGAACATGTACTGATGAATTGTAAAACTTATGAGCATGAAAGGGAGAATTTGAGAAGGATGGTTGGAAGGACAGGCAAAGAATGGAGTCTTAAAGGAATATTGGAAAATTAAGGAAATATAAAGGATATTCACAGATTAGGGAAAACATTATTTATTTATCTACAGAATACAACATTTAAAAAAAATATTAGTTTGATGTAAAGTAATGTTGCTACACACTCATGTACAGTAGATGGCGGTATGCACCTTATAGGTGCATACCGATCCGCCATAATAGAAAAGAAGAAGAAAAATGGCTCAGACCCCTTCGTGTTTGAGTCTGCAGTACCCTGGAGGACCGGAGGAGGGCGCGTCCGTGTCGTCAGATTTTCAGCGCGCATTTGACACTCAGACGGTCCGACCCTCCACGAAACGAGCGAAGCAGGTGGGTTGAGAGGAAGGGGAGCGGCTGTTCATACACCAGACCGGGTACCGCTGGGTGGTAACGTGATTAGAAGACTTCATTTGCCGGTTGGACCCCAATTAGGAGCAACCTTTTCGTTTTGTGGCGATAGGTGAGCTCCAGCTTTTAAAAAAAACTGGGGTGAGTACGTAGTTTGGTCACTGATGGCTGACTGTCTGGCTAATTAGCTCGTCTGATAGGATTGAAGAGGGAAAGCTCAGTGGTGTTCGTCCCCCCCCCGCTTTGTAAGCGTTTCAGTTTTAGAGGCTTGATCTCTTAACTCGGCTAATAGGTTGACATTTTGATTTTATTTGCCGTTTATACCACATTAAGCTAAGCTAATGATGCTAGCAGCCGGATCAGTGTCCTGTTTCTCTTTACCGGTGTCGTGTTCGTTTTTGCATCCTTGTCATCATCTTCTCAATAAGTGATCAAGTCTCTTCCACTATCAAATGCTTAAAGCTACCACTATAAGGGGAACAATTGGAGCTGGTGGAAGCAGATGTTTTTGGGATGACTAACTGCATCATGTGTGCGGGGCAGCTGATGTATCCATCTTCGGGCAAAGATGAGAGCAGGAGGAAATAAAGGGGCAGGGATTGGCTCCTCACGTCACAGCTCATGCTTAAAGGAAGGTTGTTTTTATTGCGTTTTGTTCTCTGATATTTTTAACTGATGAGAGTGGATTACAATAATGGGATCCAGTGTTTGTTGTTTGCTGATGTTCTCAGGTCATTCATACAGAGCTTTGAATCATTTGAAGTGCTGATCTTGCAGTTTCTGAGGCCCAACCTTTTGTTGTACACCATAACATGAAGCATTCTCAGCAGTGAAATATGATATGGGCATTGAATGCCTACAGTTTGGTCATTTAAACTCACCAAGCTAAGATGGGATAAGAGTGTCAAGTTAAGAAAATTTCCTACTGGGTCAATAAAATCATTAACAGTGTTAATATTTGCAATCTAGATGATTTTACAATCTTGATTGTTAGGGGTGCACCGATTACAGGTTTCTGGCCAATCACTGATTCCCTATCTTTAAAAAAAGCCTGACATGGTCATTCAGATTTTGACCGATACAGATTTATTTTTATAACTGACAGCCAGTTGTTTTAAGATCATAAGACACAAGAATATTCAATGTTATCTTACTGAAAAAAAATCCTTAAATGCCCATGAAACAATAACAACTTCTGAAAAAACTGCTCTCAAATATAGATCATGGCATTGACAGTGGGTGAGTTTCAGACCTTTACAGAAGTGGATTTGATTTGATGGAAAAGATTTTACATGTAAGTATCGGCCGATCACCGATCTCCCTCAAAATAAATTAAAATCGAAGCCAATCGATGGACCAGGCGATATATCAATCTGTGCACCCCTATTGATAACATTAAATGTGTAACATTATACTTGTAATTGTGTAA